TGTTTATGATGTACCTAGAGTATATAATCTCTTTATCCTTGCTTCCATTGATGTTCGAAAGCGTATTCGGCTCTTACATATAGCCTTTATGTTATGGAATTTGCATCAAGTTACAAGAACTTTTAGATACAAGAAAACATATATATCCTAATAGTATGTAAGCAAGCATCGCAATTGTAAAAATTACAACAGTATGGGCACTTTTCCACATGATTTATCCAGTCTTGCTTAGGATACCTACACATAGTAGTAAAATAATTCAGGATAACCGACTTAATTTAATAATAACACTAGTTTGGCAAAAGATTCATTTGTTCAAGAATATTAATTTCAGTGACTAGACTAATATATGCAACGAATTTGTCTTTGAATACAGTTTGCAACCCGATTGAAAGGGAATCAAACAACTTTATTATCTAAAGATAAAAACTATGCTCAATTTCTGTTCAAAACCGTTTGAACCTTTCGAAGACGTAAACCAATTCAAAAAACTAAGGATATCAATTGGAGGGTAAAAGCACTAACAAGAAACATAAAAAAACAAATCACCATTTATCAGAGTAAGTTGAACATACCATGTACTTAAGCAAAGAGAGCAATACACGCTTTTGCAAGCATGACACTTAAGAATTTCACTCTTTGTTTTTTTGCACTGATGACATATCAATGATTCAACGACTTCTCGACATATTAACATCAATTGACACTCTCTCTGACCACATTTTTCTCGAATGGACATAATAATCGATGGGAATGGTTCATTCTCATTACCACTTATCACCCTCTCCAAGGTTTCAGTGTTCTCGACCTCACGCTCAAGATTCTACAAATGATTATTTAACAACACATAACATTCATAAGAATGCATTAATAAGTTCACAAACTAAATTTTACCTTTGGATAAAAACTTATAGTTTCATAAAGTAAACCATTTATTCATGATAAAAAATTATACATCAGAGTTATTATCCTACATTCATACAAACTTATAACTACTTTTATAGGTTCATAAGGT